GAAGTTGTGGTAGGGGAATAGGGATTCTCCAAGTTTGCTTTATTCTCCATGGCTTCTTGCTTGGCCACTTGCATGCTTTCCTTTCTTACTTATCACTAGCTTATCCTTCATGCATGCCAATACAATATGTCTTGTCATTTAGGGTGTGTTTTGGTTTATTTGTCTGATTTTAAATTAACACAAAATTTAAGAAAAAAATATTTTTAAATCTTGAGTCTTAAACTAAAGATAACGAACGTAGAGAAGCAAAATGTTCTTGAATCTTGTGAATTATGTTTTGTGAAAAATTAGAACTAAAGACTAAAGAGTTGCTAAAATGAAAAGACATTTTTTCTCAAAGAGAAACTAAAAGAATAAATGAATAACACAAACAAATTGAAACGAAGAAAATATAGAAGCATAGTTAGCACACAAGTCGGTACATATGTTGTTTGTGTTGGAAAATAAAGCTTTTGAAAATGAGAAAATAGCATTTCAACATTGCGTCATTAATCACATAGTCCATAGATATCCGGTTTTGCACTATACACGTCTTTTTTTTTTTTTTGATATTTATATTGGAGTTTCACTTCATTTAAGAGCGAATTGCTTCCTATAATATTGATTAGAATCCTAGTTATCCGACTACAATTTTTGTTGGTTCGTTGGGGTTATTCGCGACCATAGTTCTTACTTGTTTATTTACCTGTATAATTAATAATAATACACATATAAATCTTTTTTGCTTTTGCTTTTAACCATTTTAGATATTTTTAAATATTAGTCCGCTAATTTAAATTTATGCCATATATAGGATGTATTTATTAAACAAGAAGGAGCTATATATATTAGGATTTTCTTAATTCTCAAATATTCTAATTCAAAATATCTAATTAAAGATTGAGAATCTCATCTAATCCCATCGGTTCTTATTTTTCTAACTCAAAACAATTGGAAAAGATGGCTTTGCATGACGCACGACAACAATGAAAATTATGTATGAGAAAAGAAAGCTACATTACTCCTAAAGTTGTATCTCATCTAAGTTCTTTTTTTTGTTTGTTTATGACAATTCTGAAGACACTACTAAAATTTGCTTACCTAAGTGTTTATGTAGGTTTATCCTGCATTTATAGATAGAGTTATCAATCAACTTGTCTATTTATGGTGAATCCGTCAAATAGTTGAAGAAGAAAAATTATATACTATTTGTGCAACTGATTGAATTTAGCTTTTTTCTACTTGTAGGATCACCAACCGTTGTAATGGTGATTCCTCGATGGCGTGAATGTTCCTTTATTTTTACTGGGAAGCTGGCGTTGCACATTTTAATTTGCATACCTAAACACTTTGTTAAGGGAGTGTCAGTTGTGCCTTTGTTCATTACCAGCATGTTTCCTTTGCCCAGGCCTGGACGTTTGTTACCTATATACTATTTTTACTTATACTTTCAAAATATTAAGTATCTTACCAATTTTATTATGATACATGTATTTTTTTTATCAGATACACTAAAATAGGGGAAGAGGTGAGCGAGATTGGGGAGGGAGGCAAGCTAGATTCGTATGTATCCCAGATACATGCGAATTCCAGTACTAGATACACACTAGATACATGTATATATATGTATCCGTAGTGATTCGCGTGTATTTGAGATAGCAGATACATGGAAGAGTGGTGAGAGAGATGGGATAGAGGCGAGATAGGTGAGCAAGATTTGTTATGTATCCTAGATATATGTGAATCTACTTGGATACAATGCATCTAGAACAAATTACACCTAAATTTAGCTCTATATACCTAAGATACATGTATTTGAATGCACCAGAATCTGGTAAGATATGTAATATTGCAAACTAGAGAATAGCTAAGTAATTAACTCCTAAACTAGTGGAATACATGTAGGTTCCCCCATTTTAAATAGAGCAACTTTCACATATAGCAAACAAAAATCATATTTGTATGTTATAGCTATAGTTTGTATAATTGCGCTCCATAGCAAAGTTTGTTTGCTATTGAGCTTTTGATTTGTATAATTCGCTGGATACATCTAATTTTATATAAATTGTTCAGTTTTGTATAAATTCATTTATACATTGTAATTTGTATAATAAGATATGTATTTGTATAATTATAAGTGTATAGGACGAAAATATATGTATTTGTATTTGTATATACACTTTTCTCTCGCTTTATACAAACACAAACACATTTTATACCGAAATGTATAAAATGACTAATTGTATACCGAATCAGATGGCAAAAAATTGGATGTTTGTTGCGAATTACAAATAAAATAAGTTATGACTATAACATTTAATTTGAATTAATAATTTGCTATTTCATACAATTTTTCCTTTTAAATAAGTAGGTTGACCCCACGTGATCAACAACCCAATAATAATGGGTTGAAATTGATATTTTTTGGCCCAACAAAAGAAAAGACCAACTCAGTCTGACCCGTCAAATTTCAAAAATACGTGTGGGTTAAACTAAAAGATCTAGGCTAGACCATATTGATAGTTGTACCGTCACATCTTCATATTACTAAATAATTTTTTATACGATATCATCCAACAGATTGTATGACAAACAAATGGATTACATCTTATTAATCAAATGGAAAGTGTTAATGAAACTGTGAAGTGATATACTAGTTGAAATTGGTTCTACAAAACACATCTTTAGTTTTTATTTTATAGAAATATTGCAGAGAGTAAAATGCCAGCTCTATTGTATCAATTAATTGAGTAGCTTGCGATGATATCATTATCTATGCAAGTTAATTAGAGTCAATCTTATAATAAAGATCATAGGATGAAAACAACATAATATTTACATTCATCTTTCTCTATCAATATTTGAATTAATTGATTTTTATTGTTGGTGTGACCATTTTAATATTATACAAATTGTTACATATTCACATTGCCATTGCCACACTAAGTCTTTGCTGAAATATATGGCATTTGTGCCTAATTACTCATGGTCAATTAATGACCAGAGGGCATAAGGCATATTGCTTTCTGAACGTTGGCAATGGAACATTGGCATCTGCACGTTAGTGCATTTGTTGCCCTCAACTTTAATTCATTCTTTACTCCTGTATTATCCTTGTAACCTATGTAACTCCTAAGACCATTATCTTCACTATTTACTACCCCATTATCTTCCTATTCATTGCTAGGAAGACTTCTTCTAGTATAAATAGTGGTGTGGTCTTCATTTGGTTTGGAAAATATACAACACACAATACACAAGAAAAATATAAAGTGCATAAAGTTTGTCAAAAAAGAGAGTTCTTATTAGTTGAAGGAATGTGTTTCTTTTGTGGAGCTTTGTACTCAACTTTTGTCCAGAGTTGTTTAGTTATATATTGTGATTAGACTGTTGTATCCTGAAGGAGACAAGTCAAGAAGGACTACTGCTGGACCGGTGAAAACATTTGTTGCAGTGAGCTTGAATCTCCTTAAAGAGAGCGAGATATCCGCGCCTCAGCCTGAAGAGATTTATTTTCTTCATTTTATTTTCAGTTGTAATCTTGTAATTCTGTTATTTTGTAATATTTCACTTAACACTTATTATCTATAACTTTCTTGTTAAAAATTTAAGAAATTTACATGAGACCAACTGCTAATTTTTTTTTTTTAAAAAACTGAAATTGAAAACAAGAAGATTGAGAGAAGGGAAGCTGATTGAAACTCATGTGGTGCTCGTAGTAGGTTTTGGTGAAGAAGAAGTGGATTTTTTTAAAATCTAAGTCAGAATAGTTGGGGAAGGACGGGAATAGAAAGGATGTTTGAAAATCAAACATAAATTGCCTATAATTTATTATATTCTTGTATAACGAGTTTGTATTTGAATTTTTCTATCGAATATTTAACTCTATTTTATGAGATTCCATTTTCTTTTATTTCTCCACTGCTTAGAAAATAGCTAAAAATTTAGAAAATTATATTTTTGATTGTTATAATTTCAAAAACAACATCAATGAAGCATATCATCTCTAATTTCTAGTTTTTATTGCTATCTCTTGGCCCCACAAGTAGAGGCGAACCCACCTTTGCTAGTGGGTGCCACCCGTTAACTTCGAAAAAAATCATATATATATATATATATTGAGAAGCTGGCAGAAACTAGGATATACTCCCTCGGTTTCAAAAAGAATGGTTTAGTTTGACTTAGAACGGAATTTAAGAAAAGAAAATAAACTTTTTAATCTTGTGGTTCTAAATTGAAGTTATGTCAAATGTATTAAAAATGTCCTTTAATCGTGTGGTCTTAAACATGCCACATGGAAAGTTGAAGTTAAAGTGTTGCCAAAAAATGAAAGGGATTATTCTTTTTTAAACAGACTAAAAATGAAACTAGGTTGTTCTTTTTTAAACAGAGGAAGTAATTAATAGTGCACCGATAGGAGCATAAGGGTGTTCTTGTGTTGCTATTACAAGGCAGAGGAGCCACCCGCGAGACTATGATTCGATACCTATTGCTAAAGTGCCAAATTTCTTTGTTTTTATTTTAAATTTAGCTTAGACCGAGAGATCATATGTGTTGCACGAAGACTCCTCATATAACAATTGTCTAACCCGATGCCAAACTTTTATTTCCTCTTTTAGTTTTCAAGCCAAGTTGCGCTAAGTACACTAAACTTTTGCTCCTTTAATTTATTCTTTTGTTGTCTAAATTTTTCTTTCGATCTTTTTTTTTTTTTTGTTACACTAGGGGATTAGAGTAAGAAGAGGGGACGGTGAAAATTGAACTAACACTTCTTACGTCAAAGACTTCCATCAATATCACTAAACTATACATTTTGGTGGCGATCTTTTTCTATTCATCATAAATAAATTAGTGCCATTTATATGGGTGGGGTGAAATCACACTTCCGAGTATCTTGCCAACTACATAGTTTATTCATCTCATTTTTATTTTATTTTTTTCTTCAAAATTAAAAACCTATAAATATCATGGTAAAATGTAACAAAGTAATTTTAGCAATAGAAATAGAATCAATTTGCCGGAATAGATAGTTGATAGATAATATGCAAATTACAAATGGTGTTAAAATAAGAATGGAAAAGAGATTATTCAAGAAATAGTGGAGCCATGAGCACTTGTTGTCTTTAAATCTTGTATAATTTCATCACAAGTGGACTTGCATTGCTTGGGCAACAGACAAGTCCTCGTTAATTGTGGTAGCTTCTCCAATATGAGTTCCCCATCCAATGCCAATACTCTGCCACATGCATTGAATTGTATTACAGACAAAAATTAGTGCAAAGATCATTGTACCAACTACTCTTGAAATAGCCTACGTAATATAAGTATAACATGAAGGTGTGTGCTATACGGTCAACTTTATCCGGTTGAATTTGAATGTGTTACGTCAGCATAAAATATAGGCAAAAGGGACAAATATATTCTTGAACTATCGTAAATTGTATGTAGATACCCTCTGTCATACTTTTGGGACATTGGTGCCCTTGCCGTCCAAAAACTAGAGTATATATGTCCTTCACTCTAACGGAAGACTAAATACGGACACGTGGCGCAATCTTATCCGTTGATCCGATATTTGATAAATATCAGGTCGGTGGATAAAATTATGACACGTGTATGTCCGTTAGTATAAAGGGTATATATGCTCTAGTTTTTGGACTGCAAGGACATCAATGTCCCAAAAGTATGACGGAGAGTATCTGCATACCTTTTACAATAGTTCGAGGATATATTTGTACTTTTTCCCTAAAATATATATAAAAGTAAAAAAAATAATGTGTCCATGGACAATAAGATCCTAGTTAAATTAAGACGTGTCACTAAAATTTCGATTATAATTTAGGGGCGTACAATTAATCAATTATACATCCTACATATATAATTCCAATAAAAGATATTGTGATCGTCTAGAAGTGCTGGCGAGCACGCCCCAAAGTAATCATGGCAAAGGAGTGGATAAAAGGATTAAAGTTGCACACATTGCGTATAAATAATATTTGTATTATGTGTATAATTTAACAGATTATATTAAGTTATTACGCTATTTTCTAGATTATACGGGCCATGAAAATAATAATACTTTGTTTACTTTATTTGAAATTTTCATAGTTGGAGTTGATATTGTGTTTGATCATACTTTTTGTAATAAATATTTAGAATTTGAATATTTTTAAAAAAAAAAAACATGAAATATAAATTAAATGGTGTTATTTTATAAGAATAAAAAAATTAGTATAAGTTTGAAAAAGAAAAAAAATTATAAAATTAAAAAATTGAAAATAGGGTTTGGGGTATTTTTCAAATTTTACATTTCAAATAGAATTTTAAGTTGTATTTAAAAATTTTATGGCCAAATTTTAGTTTTTTTAAATCAGTAAAAATTTCTCATGGCCAAACAGTTCATATGAAATCATGCTTGCAATTAAGAGTTGGTACTATTTATTATTGTAGATATTCAAACTTAGCCTCATAATATAAAAAAGAAGAAGTAGGAAGATAGTGCGTAAAACTAAAACTTTATAATAAATTTAATAACATATCTAGTAGGGTAAACATATATTTTATTTTTATCTTTGTGAAATAAAAAAATTGTTTCTAAAAGATCCTTTATTCGAGAGAGTTATCTTTCAGAAAATTATTGAAAAGAATAATGAACTATGATATAAATACTAAAGATAGAAAAAGTATGGCGACATAAATATTAACGATAATCAAAGTAAAAAAAAATTAAAAATAATATAATGCTTGGTAAGCCATAAACTCTGTTGGAAATATATATCTCAAAGTCTAAGAAAAGCCAACTAAAGTCAACTTTATTTCAAAATTAATTTGTCAAATTGGAAGTGCTTATTCAATATGGGTCCCAAATCTTGCGTGTCAAAAATTAATAAAAGCCAAATTTTCACTATATTAGAAAAAAAAACTTATCATGACTTTTAGTTAACACGTTCACATACCCGTTAAGTTTGCAGGCAATGTAAGAGTCCACAAATTGTTCAGTGCTTCTTAAGCTCAAACTTTCACAAAGCCTGTAATGCTTCTGGAGATAATACTTCTGATGTTGATTCTCCGCAACAAAAAATTCACAATCACTAATTAAGAAACTTAATTTCGTTAGAATCCTCCTATTAAGCTTCATTTGCCGCCTTATCTTTGATTGTTGTGCTTGTTTCCTCTCTTCTTCTGTTGAACAGAATATAGCAGATCTCAGATGCGTACTTAACCCAAAATTCTGCATAACAATAACATGCCTCGTGTCACTTGTATGTATAAGAAATAAAGGAAGACTTTTAATGGATAGGTAGCAAAAATATGTTACTAGAAGATTGAGAGACTAACAAGGGAATTTTTATTGGTTGGATCATGAGTATCCCAGAAAAAATCGCAAAGAGATTTGTAAGATACAAATCTGTTATCATATGTGATTTTCACTGCTTCAGTATGTCCTGTGTTTCCTTCAGAGACATCTTTGTAGGAAGGTTTTCTCATAGTTCCTCCATAATATCCTGTTGCAGTTCTTACGACTCCTTCGAATCGACCATATGCTGCTTCAACATCATAGAAACTATCTACAATTTTACCAAATTGACATATACGCGTCTGTTACGTGTGTACATATTATCAGTTGCTCTGAAACAGATACAAATTAAAAGAGAGAAAAACAGAGTACGTACCTCCAGCAAAAATTGCTTGACAGAGGAATTCTGCTGGAATGTTGTTATTAACAGTGTTTTCCGAATCAGAGTTGTCTGAATCGTGAGATTTGCTCCGTCCAAGTAATTTGTAGTAATGCATAATTGACAAAATTCTGTAATTGATACAAGGGAATGAGTCTAATTTATGCTTTTGTCTTTAAGAAAAGAGGGAAATGCGTGTGAATGTATATAATAAACCAAACAATCCTTCTGAAAAAGCTGTGTCGTATGAACGTAGAAAATGGAGAGACTGAGAAGCCAAATACGTATTGCCTAATTTAGAAAACCTTGTGTGGTAAGAGACAGAACACCTTTATAATAGGAATAAATATCTAATATTTTTATCACATTTATTAATTTTCCTTGTATTTTGAAATTATTATTATTTCACATCAGATACAACTAAATACACTCTATATAGATATGTATTTGATGTGATTCGCATGTATGTAGAATATCAAATACGTAAGGAAGATATGAGAGTGACAAGCAAGACAAGAGGGAGGCGAGCGAGATTTGTTTACCTAGATATATGTGAATTCACTATAGCGTATCTAGAACAAATTTACCTATGAATCCATCAAAATCTGATAGATTCGTAATATCATAAACTAATATGTATCAAAGTGATTAGATTATGAGAAAAGATAATGCAATGTATGGGGTGATGTAATCTGAGAGGCCGCAGGAACACATGTTTACACATCTGATGGTACATGCCTTCATTTTGTTTGGCCGGTGATGTTGTCTACACTTGGTCGGGTGATGTCTCCTTCTTGGAAAATCAATAACACAATATGACATTATATCACTTATCTTCTGGTCATTAAATTTTGAAGTTAAATATTCAAAAAATTTACAACTTTCATAGTTATATTTTTTTTAATTTAAAATTTTATTGGGATACGTATGTATTTTACCCTGTGAACCAATTCTAACTTAAAACAAATAGGTCCTTCTGACCCTGATCAATTCAAATGCTATTGATTGCCGTTGAAATTTGTCAAGCCATACGAATTTTGCCAATGCAGACTTCATGGTCGAAGGACAATCATAAGGCCTTTCATTTCCATTAGGGCAAATGTATTTTTTCCCATTGTTACAACGGCGGATATTAAAGAGGTATCTTAACTTTCTTTAACAAGAGAGTGTAGACATTTGGATACAACTTGATTATATATTTGGTAGATCTAGCACCATTTGCATTCATCAAGCATGAGAGAGAAGGTAGACGCTCACCCACCCGAATTCTGCCATTATGAGTGAATGTTAAAATATGTACATAATTGCTCCAATTGAAATACTAAGAATAATTCTACTTTTCTATCAAGAGTAGCCTTTTTAGTGCTAGCTGAACGTAAAGTAATGACTTTTGTACAACATAAGAAGACAACAAGATTTAAGTCCTATCCGCACTATCGTAAATGTTCGATACAGATTCCAAATCCACGAGATACTTTCTCTTTGAATCTCTTGCTTCTTTCCTCAATAACAATATCTCAAGTGCATCAAGAGCATTTCACAGTACTTTTCCTGGATAATATTTTTTGTCTAAACATTGAAAAACCACTAGTAAAATTTACATCCATGAAATGCACACACAACAAATTCTAAATGAAGCACCAACCATTCTGCAACCTAATAAATAAGATGATGAATAACAATTCGTTACAGAGATGAATGTTACACTTTCTTGACTTCATCTTCAACAGGATCGCGAAGAGTTCCAAACATCCAGTCCATCCATATTGTGTAGTGACCATAATTATGGCGGTACGTAGTATGGTGGATGGTATGGTAACCGGCACCCATTACAGGCCAAACCTTCGCATGTATACAGTCATGAATATTTGCAGTCCATATGGCTTCTATGAATAAGAGAGCAATGTGTGTGGTAAAATGCACAGGCAACAGAAAAAGAGCTACTACGTGTGGCACTGCCTGTAGTATTCCATCCAATGGGTGGAACGCCAAACCTGATTTCCAAAGCAGCAAGCCATTCATGTTAGTGATCAACTTGGAACACAACTCCGGGATTAAGAGACATTTGAATATCGTACAAGCTCGAGAGAAAATATCATACAATTAGAATACAGAGAAAACCTATCATTTTTTATTGGACTAAACTTGCAATGTGGTGAAGATTGTTTTGTTAATCATGGTGTCTAGGTCAGCTTTTGCGCGCCTCCACTAATTCCACGGGATACATGTCAGCCCTCACTAGCAACAAGTACTCGCTAAAACAATGTGGTGAAGATTTGACAACCAATTTCCTCGAACATTTAAGCTTTGGGGAAATAGGTAAAACATTTCCTCGATTCAGAAAATCCTAGCATGGTTTCAACAGGGGAACCAGTCTTGTGATGCATCAATATCTATTCTCAATGTCATGCAGTTAGACTTTACAAGTCATTGAAATGGTGATGAGATGTATGAAGCAAGTTAAGCTTTTCGAAACTAGATTTATCTTGGAAAAAAAGAAGTAGTGGATGAAGAAATTCCAATAAACCGTTTTCTTACAATGCTCTCTAATTCAGTTTAGTATTAATATAGTGGGCCTCTTAACGATATGTAACCACTTCATCCCCCCTTCGATCCCCTCTAACCAATGATTGAGATGTGAAAATTTAGATTGTGAGTTGGTTTGCAATCACAGAGGAAAATGTCAAAGCACAACGAGCAACAAGTTATCTACAAAGCAGGAGGAAGAAGTGGGGCAGCTGAAGTTGTTTTCAAAATAGAAGATAGTTATGAGATGAAACTTACCAGCAAATGGGGAGAGTGTATTTTGCTTGTTGTATATATGATGTGTAGCATGGAGATACTTGTACAGAGGTTTTATGTCATGCAACTCTCGATGCATCCAATAGATACCAAATTCTACTATTACCAGATAAAGTGCAACATAGATAAGGTAGGGCATCCATCCGACATCGCTTATTCTTGAGAAACATTTAGTCCACCCATTTTCAATCATGTACTCAGAAAGTGATGGAAGGGCACAGTACCATGGCATAGCTTTCATTGCAACTCCTATTTGCAAGAGCATAGCTTTATTTGAAGCAATGGCATCTGCAATCACATGAGACTGACTATATGAAGCAAAAATGCAGACTTACCACTATTAAAGCATAAGTCATATTTATTGAGAAATTGATGGCTTAGAGATCATCAATTAATACTTAAGTTGGATCTCTAATTTTAAATCTAAATCTCATAACCATTAAAAAAAGAAGTTACCTTTAGGTAGATAAACATTGCGTTTTAAGTAATAGATGTAGAAGCACCAAAGAAAACCAGAAAGAAAGTAAAGCAAGACTCCACCGATGTAGTTGCGAAGCCATCCTTGAAACCAATGAGGGAGTGGTCCCCACCATGATTCCGGCAAGAATGTGCCCAGAACAATCCTATTAAAAAACGACGTCTCCTCTACAAATAAATTCAAGTAGTTGTCCATTTCACTAGATTCCGATGGGAGAAGAGACTAGTGGGTGGGGGCGGCACACAATTCTTTTGTTGACTTGTCACAACTAGTGTGAATGAATGAATGAATATATATATCTGGGAGTTGGGGATTGTTTTGGGTTTGCCTCTAAATATCTGTCAATTGTTCTGATCTGGCTGTCTAGCTGCGCGCCGCCGGCCTTCATTGCTTTAGAAAAAGGTTCAATTATATTCATCTATCATCTTTGATGTAATAGCGGTGTCATTTCTATTTGATTTTTTATAAGAGTATTATTTATTTTGTTCATTGATTTTTTATTTGTGAATATATTAAATCAAATATTAAGATATTTATTATCGAATTTTGTATTGATTTAACAGATAAGAAAATCTTCATACAATCATATATGAGTGTATATTTATAAATAAAAATACAAGTGCAACACAAATTTCTATATTAATCACTTTTATTTAAGTTAAAATTGTCTCTAATGATTTATGCAATAAATTGCGAAAATAACATTAATTATTTATCTTTATCTCAATCAAATGAAAAAATAAAAAGTAATACTAGTTTGTGTCTAGAAGAAAGGCGTCGCAATAAAGAGGCTGAGAGGTCAATGTATATTGCTTACGACGGAAAGTAATATTACAGTTTAGAAATTAGGGTTGATAATATATTAAAATCACTATCATACAATTAGGAATAAAATAATAATTTTAACATATTTATTAAATGAAAAATTATGAAATAGTCAAAATTAGCAATCTATTTTTGGAAAATAGCTATAGATGTAATAGTATAGGACAGATGTAAAGTAGAAATAGTATAGGACAAATGTAAAGTAAGTAGAAGCATCTCTACTTGTATAAATAGAGAGCCATTAGACACATCTAAGGCAAGACTTTCTCGACGGACTGCAAGCCTCTTTATAAATAAAATACTCTCAAATAAATAAATATCAAGTTTTAATCTAAGCTATGGAGCAAAATATACCAGATCTCATAGAAAAACATGTATATATATTTATGATTATGCATAGCTAAATCTATTAATTCCTGAATATCATAACATGATTAAATAAGTTCATACTAGTTATTATATACTAGAATTATTTGAAGCATGTTTTCTAGTTTGTTAACATGAGGAAAAAAGGAAAAACTTTCAGACTATGTCATCCTAAAGTTGAAACCATAGGCAAGGAAGCCGTGAGGGGAGTAAACAGAGTTGAGGCGCTGTTAGGAAGGGAGTACCTTTGAAAGTACGATGTTAATAGTGACAGGAGAACATGGTTGAAAATAATCTGGTTTATAGTAATCTAATATGAATAATATTTATTATGCATATGATATAAGAGAATTATTGATTAAACAGCAGAACATTAATATGACTACTTATCTACATGATAAAATGATATTAGCTTATGAAACACTGATTTTATATATTCTAAAAAATATAAAAATAATTGAATTAAGAAGAATGATATGGAAAAAAAATATTTGAATTAGAAGAATTAGAACTAGCAACTCAAACCTGGTATGAAATAGACGAAATAGATGAAATATATGATCTAGAACGAATTAATATTAATGATTTAGAATTAGAATACTTAGACTAATGATAAATTACGAATATTTTCAATATTGGCAAGAAACAACTGAAGAAATAACTTTACTAGTAGA